GTTGGGAGAGTTGAGAGAGAAAAAGTGGTTGTGGCATTAATTGCCCTATCACTTCTATTATTTCCCCCATTTTTTGAAAAGACCCAAAAGCCCACCCAACTCTGATTCGGGCTCACCCATACTAAGATGTTCACCATAACAAGTATCCACGCCACCACGAATAGTATCTCAACAATCCACACAAATATTCAACACAATAAATAACTGAATATTCTTTAGGTTCAAAGAAATATCCAAGAAACCCTAACAAATATCACAATAATACAAACAAACATCAAGAAATAAGTAAAACATATTACAACAAAGACTGACAAATATCCACAACAACCCAACTAATATCAAATTTTTGTACCCTAACCCTAAACTCTAAACTCTATCACCCCAATCACTAAACACTAAAAAAATAAAACTATTATTGTTTGCCCAAGCCGAGAATATTCAAAGGTTACACACAAATATCTAAACACATGAACTAAATGAATATTTCCTCAGGTTCAAATAAATATCCACACAACCCGGACAAATATCAAAATATTTTAAAGAAATATCATGTGGTTAGTAAAAATTATTACAACTAGGAAAGACAAGTATCCACAACACACCAACTAATATCTTCTATTTGTACCCTAAACTCTATCACCCTAATCACTAAACACTAAAACAATAAAACTATTATTGTTTGCTCAAGCGGAGAATATTCAAAGGTTCCACACAAATATCCAAACACATGAACTAAGGGAATATTTCCTCAGGTTCAAATAAATATCCACACAACCCAGACAATTATCAAAATATTTTAAAGAAATATCACGTCGTTAGTAAAAAGTATTACAACTAGGAAAGACAAGTATCCACAACACACAAACTAATATCTACTATTTGTACCCTAACCCTAAACCCTAAACTCTAAACTCTATCACCCTAATCACTAAACACTAAAAAAATAAAAATATTATTGTTTGCCCAAGCCGAGAATATTCAAAGGTTCCACACAAGTATCCAAACACATGAACTAAGAGAATATTTCATCAGGTTCAAATAAATATCCACACAACCCGAAAAAATATCAAACTATTTTGAATGAATATCAGTAGGTTAGTAACAAGTATTACAACTAGGAAAGACAAGTATCCAGAACACACCAACTAATATCTTCTTTTTGTACCCTAACCCTAAACCCTAAACTCTAAACTCTATCACCCTAATCACTAAACACTAAAAAAATATAACTATTATTGTTTGCCCAAGCCGAGAATATTCAAAGGTTCCACACAAATATCCAAACACAAGAACTAAAGGAATATTTTCTCAGGTTCAAATAAATATCCACACAACCCGGACAAATATCAAAATATTTTGAATGAATATCAGTAGGTTAGTAAAAGGTATTACAACTAGGAAAGACAAGTATCCAGAACACACCAACTAATATTTTCTATTTGTACCCTAACCCTAAACCCTAAACTCTAAACTCTATCACCCTAATCACTAAACACTAAAAAAATAAAACTATTATTGTTTGTCCAAGCCGAGAATATTCAAATGTTCCACATAAATATCCAAACACATGAACTACGAGAATATTTCCTCAGGTTCAAATAAATATCCACACAACCCGGACAAATATCAAAATATTTTGAATGAATATCAGTAGGTTAGTAAAAAGTATTACAACTAGGAAAGACAAGTATCCAGAACACACCAACTAATATCTTCTATTTGTACCCCAACCCTAAACCCTAAACTCTAAACTCTATCACCCTAATCACTAAACACAAAAAAAATAAAACTATTATTGTTTGCCCAAGCCGAGAATATTCAAAGGTTACACACAAATATCTAAACACATGAACTAAAGGAATATTTCCTCAGGTTCAAATAAACGTCCCTTCTATCTAATATTACCTACTTTATTCGTATTATCATACGTCAGCTAAATTGTTACGACATAGAACATAGAAGTATATATCGATTTGTTGAAACATTAAACGTCCCTCCTATCTAATATTACCTACTTTGTATAAGCTGTTAATTTTTCAACCAGAAACCCTAACCTCGAACCCTAAACAATGTACACTACTAAATAAACTCTAAAAACAATATAATTAGGAAAGAATAGATATTCATACTGACCAGACTAAACCTTAAACCCTAAAAGAGAACCCAAACCCTTATGTTGAAACCTTAACCCTAACCTCTATACCGTAAACCCTAAACCCTAAACCAAACCTAAACCATCAACCCTAAAAAATAAACTATAAAAAATAAAAACTATTATTATTTAATGGTCCTTCGGCGAGCAGCCCTAACTAAGGTTGCAAGCCTTATGTGTTAGGACTTGATAGTGTGTAGGACTTGATAGTGTGTTTAATTTGATGTAAGACACAATATTCCAATCCTTCACAAATTGAAAACCAGAACTCTAAACCCTAAAACTTAAACTCTAAATTGGTGTAATCAGTTTATGGTGGTTGGGTTATTTTGGGCCGCCGTTAAACATTAGTTTAATGATGGATATTGGTTTGCGAAGGAATAATACTAGTTCATTTCAACAATGATGCAAAGAAATATCAACATAACATAAAATAATATCGACTGAGAACAAATAAATATCCACACAAACAAACATACATAAATATCACATGGGCCCATCAATTTTCGTTCTCTTTCCACTCCTCTCCATTCTCCCGCCCAAAATCAAGCCGGGCCCACCACGCCACTTGCTCGGCTCCTTCGCCGCCGCACGCTGGGCCGGATTCTACACGTTGGCCCACCTTCAGCTCACTTAAGTGAGCCACCACCACACCGAGAATCTCCTCCGTTGGATCAAACATGGGCCGACGTGGCCCAAAATCATGCCCTGTTAGTATCTGCTAACCCTTTAAGCAGTTAGCATATTAACTTCGGCGCCACTATCGGCGGCGACGGCGGCGGCCTTCTTCGTCGGCGAAGTCGGCGGCGTCTTCTTCCTCGTCGATCGGGATAGCTTCAACGTCGTCGGCGGCGGGAGATCCAACAAGCCGTCGCCGACCTCGCAGCCGTCGTCGTTGTTGGTGGTGGTTTTCGGGAGAAGAAGAAACAGAGAGGGAGAGGATTTGAAAGTTGGAGAGAGAGGGGAGAATGGCTGACTCGGGTTGAGCTCGGATTTTGGGTTTGAAATTTTGGTTTTTTTTTATTTCTGGCCCCACTTCTCCCAAAAGTGGCTCGGCTTGCCCAAAAAAATCTCCCCCCCCCCTCACATCACAGCGCCGGTGATCTCACACCCTCCGACGTGGACTACCATCCCACCCTGTTAACGCTATTGGATAGTGGGAGGTAGAAAAATACGTTGAGGTAGAAGACTACTCCTCTCTTTATTGTTCATTTTGTTTGTGGATAGTAAGTTAGGGTTTCATGGATTTTTTTTGTGGAAATCTGGGTTTTGTTTATGGATTTGAAAATTTATGGTTCATGCGATTCGATTTAGGGTGTTTAGGGTTTTGATTCTAGATTACCAGATTTGTGTCCGTGGGATTCGAATTTGGGGGTTTAAGGATTCGAATTTGGGGCGTCTAGGGTGTCGTTTCTTGATTTGTAGATTTAGGGTTTCATGGATTAGAATATGGGTGTTTAGGGTTTTATTTGTAAATTACCAGATTTTGGGTCTGTGGGATTCGAATTTTGGGGCTCTGATTTTTTTTTCTAGTTACCAGATTTATGGTTTCTCGAATTCCATTTTGGGGGTTTGTTGGATACGATTTTGGGGAATCTAGGTATTGTTTGTTGATTCCTTGATTAAAGGTTACATGGATATCAGTTTGTCACTTCCGATACTTATTCTGGTCATTTTGTATATTGTTTCATTATGGTTTCTCGAATTCCATTTCGGGGGTTTGTGGGATACGATTTTGTTGAATCTGGGTATCGTTTGTCGATTCCTTGATTAAGGTTTACATGGATATCAGTTTTGTCACTTCTGATACTTATTCTGGTCATTTTTTATATTGTTTCAGTGAATGGGGAGACCGAAAAAGAACTCAAAGCCCAACAATGAGGGAGAAGGATCAACAAAGCAGCCACCGGATGAACAACAACCACAGGTTTCATTTCTCACTCCGTTTCTCGATTGGTTATGTTGGCTAAAAATTACTAGTCCGATGCATTTTAATATTTTCCTTGGCTGGATAGTTTTCTTAATATCTAACTATGTTTCAGGAACAACCCGTGAGGAAGAAATCCAAAACTGTTGCACCAAAATCTGCAGCGAAATCTCGTGAAGCAACTGGATCATCACAGCAGCCGCCGGATGAACAACCACCAAAGGTTTGATTTCTCACTTCGTTTCTCGATTAGTTATATTGGCTAAAAAAATAATCTGATGTGTCTGATGTGTGGATATCAGTTCTGTTAAGGTGGATACTTAACCGTTGGTTTTAGTTATTTTTCTGGGTATTATGGATATTTTTTTCATGGATATCAGTTATCTCGGTTTGGATACACTTTTGCTTTACTACGATAATAATTGTATGTATTGGCTAAAAAAATAATCTAATGTGTCTGATGTGTGGATATCAGTTCTGTTAGTGTGGATACTTAACTGTTCGTTTTAGTTATTTTTCTGAGTATTATGGATATTTTTTTCAGGGATATCAGTTATCTTCGTTTGGATACAATTTTGCTTTACTACGATAATAATTGTATATAAGTGTGCATTTTAGTTATTTGTCCAAAGATTATGGATATTTTTCTAAATATATAACTGTGTTTCAGGAACAACCCGGGATGAAGAGAACGAAAATGGTTGCATCAAGATCTCGTCAAGGAGAAGGATCAAGGCAGCCGCCGCCGCCTGCTATTCCAGAAGTTGAGGAGGAAGATGAGGAAGAAGATGATGAGGGAGAGGGTCCCTGCGGCTCATATTTCAGATTTCGTGGCTCCACCTATTCCCTCTTCAAAATCATAAACTACTTGAAACAAGATGTTGGATACTATGCAGCATGCAAGAAAGAAGTCGAGACGGCAGGATTCGGAGGCCTATTGGACCTTCGCATGCCGAAGATACCCAATGTCTTCATGGACGACTTGATGGCTGCTTATGACTCCTCATCCAGTTATTTTGTTTTTGGGGAAGGAGACTCGAAGAAGGTCTTCGACTTCACAGCTGAGGATGTGGCACGTGTGTACGACCTTCCTCTTGGTGGGGCTGTGATTGATTTGAAGAACGTTGAGGGGGGATGCTCGATAGTTTCAGCGAGGAAGTTGGCATGATTCCTAACAAGGCTCGCATGGTTCCTATCAAGAAGCTGCGGGAGTTGGCCATTCCAGCCAACAGTCCTAGACCACCTGTTGCAATTGCTGTCAAGCAATTTTTGTTGCTAGCTACTGGTTCGATACTCTTGCCAACATTTTCTCGGAGGTGCAAGCTGGACTTTGCTCCATACCTAGGTGGGAGTGTTGAGGACGTGAGGGTGTACGATTGGTGTACATTTATTGTCCGTGAACTGAAAGTAGAGTTGACTGTTGCCAAGAAAAAAGAACATAGTGCAAATGCGTTGGGCTCGCCGTGCGTGTGGTTCTCGGAGATTGCTACTTCTTGATAGTAAGTCCTAACCTTTTCTATAATTGTTGGTTCAATTGCATGAAAACTAGTGAATTTCGTATTTGGGTATCATCTAACAGAACTCGGATACTCTTTGTTTTGTAAGAAATTAGCTTGAAATGATTTCTGGATATCCGTTTAGTCACATAAGATACTGTTTGTGTTGACTCTTGATATTTGTTGATTAAATTGCTAGAAATGGAGCTTAACATTTATTAATTGTAATTTTTTTTTAAAGCTCCATCTGCTGGACTCTCTAAAACTAGGCGGGTTGCACACAAAGACCATACCTAGCTGCCGGTTTTGGTGGAAGCAAAGTGTCGAGAGGGCAAGCATATCTATCCCCTTAGTCAGGGGAAGATATGACCTAGCTGCCGCTCTGCTGAGTAGGGAAGAAATCGCCTCTCGCAGGCAGCTCCAGTCGGCGGCTATTGGGTGTACTAGTGCAGCAACTGCGAGCAGTTTAGCTCTTCCTCCAGATCGTGCACCGTTGCCATGTTGGAATGGCTTTGGATATTAGTCGGATTTTAGTTTGTTGTTCTTGAATATTTGTTGGTTTCATTTGGATATCAGCTTGTGGTTTCTTTTCAGTTATGAATACTGGTTTGTGAGGTTTGGATATTAATTTTATGCATTTGGATATTTCTGTGAAATCAATGTTTGTTATTTTTGGATATCAATTCTGCCAACTTGAATATTTGTACGCTCTCTTCTGATACTAGTCTGGGTACATGGGATAATTGTACGAGCAGTTTGGATATAGTTTTTAATTTGCGCAAAATGTTCGTTTGTCTTCCAGCTTAAGGTACTAGGTGCTGGGATTGACCGGCATATGGGAAAATTACTGGACTTTGCAACAAAACTGAGAGATATGATAGAAAAGAGGGAAGAGCATGACAGGTTCAAGGTCGTGGATTCCAGGAGGAGACATTTGGAGAATACTGTTGAGGAGGTGCTAGAGCAGCTTAAAACAGAGGTTGTGGAAGACCAAGTGGAGAATATTGAAGCTAAAATGGAAATGGATGAGCAGCCTCTAGAGAAGGACCAGGTCGAGCCACAAGTGGAGACAACTGGAGAGAAATGTGAAGAAGATCCTGAAGAGAAGAATAAATTTGAGGTGGTGGAGAATGAAGCTGAGAAGACTGTAGAGACACCGGACGAGGAGGTGTTTGAGCCGACAGTCCCTATGGTGATACACTATACAGTCCCAGATACCTCTTTTGAGGACATTTTGCAGATAGCTCATGAGGCTACTAGCGTTGCTAATGCCGAGGAAGAAGACCCACCTACAGATGTGGTGGAGTCGTTCTCTCAACTTGCAGAGATGGGAATGTTGCCTACAGACGAGGAGTTGGTAGAAGCGGCTTGTAAGAGTGCTGAGAGGAGTCCAGATGTGATTATCACGCATGAGAGGAATATGACTGACGAGGAGACAGACCGTCTGTACAGCTACACACCTGAGGAATGGCTTGCAACACTAAAGACCCCAGAGTTCGAGAGATCGAAGAAGAACCCATATGCTTCTTCATCGTTATATTATTTGTCGAAGGATGTGTCGACAAAGCTCGACCCAGTTGCTCGTCGTATGGTTGAGTTCGTCTTCAGTAACCCTGAGTGTAAGGGCTTGGTGGTGCACACTCCTTCAGTTAAACTCGCCCGTCTTCATCTGTTGACATTGAAGCGATTAGAGTGGGTCAATCTACAAGTGGTTGAGGCTTATTGTAATTTCTTGAACGATAAAGCACTTGCTGGTGACAAGAACAGAGTTATCTTTCCGTTCACTTTTGGTATAAGTAGGCTCTTCACTCACACCTTACAATTTTTAGATATCCAGTAACTAATTAGCTATTATTTTCCTTTGCAAACAGCAACTTGCCATACTTAATTCTCAGACGAATGTGCCCCCGTCCATGTATAGACTCAATGCGGTCATTGAACTGACCCAGCGGGTTCAAGTCTTCAAACATGTTGTATGGGACAAATTAGAATATGTAAGTGAATGCTTATTCTATCTTGATACGTATCGAGATAGAATAAGGATTCACTTACATATTCTACTTTGTCCCATACAACATGTTTGAAGACTGGAAACCGTTGGGTCAGTTCAATGACCGCATCGAGGTTCTCCTTGGATGGGGCACATTCGTCTGAGAATTAAGTAGGGCAAGTTGCTGTTTGCAAAGTAAAATAATAGCTAATTAGTTACTGAATATCTAAAAATTGTAAGGTGTGATTGAAGAGCCTACTTACACCAAAAGTGAACGGAAAGATAACTCTGTTCTTGTCACCAGCAAGTGCTTTATCGTTCAAGAAATTACCATAAGCCTCAACCACTTGTAGATTGACCCACTCTAATCGCTTCAATGTCAACAGATGAAGACGAGCGAGTTTAACTGATGGAGTGTGCACCACCAAGCCCTTACCCTCAGGGTTACTGAAGACGAACTCAACCATACGACGAGCAACTGGGTCGAGCTTTGTCGACACATCCTTCGACAAATAATATAACGATGAAGAAGCATATGGGTTCTTCTTTGATCTCTCGAACTCTGGGGTCTTCAGTGTTGCAAGCCATTCCTCAGGTGTGTAGCTGTACAAACGGTCTGTCTCCTCGTCAATCATATTCCTCTCATGCGTGATAATCACATCTGGACTCCTCTCAGCGCTCTTACAAGCCGCTTCTACCAACTCCTCGTCTGTAGGCAATATTCCCATCTCTGCAAGTTGAGAGAACGACTCCACCACATCTGTAGGCGGGTCTTCTTCCTCGGCATTAGCAGCGCTAGTAGCCTCATGAGCTATCTGCAAAATGTCCTCAAAAGAGGTATCTGGGACTGTATAGTGTATCACCATAGGGACTGTCGGCTCAAACACTAACCCTTTAGCTAATTAAAGTTTGAAGCAGCTTTTGCAACTACTAACTGCTCATGCGAATATAAATGAAGGGAAGAGGAGCTTGCGTTCTCTTCTTCCTTCAACTGTCGGAAGGAATCCAGCAGTTCAAAATCCTCTTGTCGATGTTGCTACTGCTTACCCTCCCTCGTTGAAGATGAAAATTGCATACTCACAGTATCTCAGAAACCTGCATCATCCGGGGACATTGAATTTCAGTCATAAAGAAAGACATCTAAATACCAAACTTCAGTGTACTATTCCTGAGAAGGATTTGTTCCATAAGTGGTTCAAAGTAATGCAGGACACAGCTTACATTTATAGGCATTTCAGCAATGAGAAGGCCACAACTTTCCTCCACATTCTTCAAGGTCACAACTTCCCCACCGGCAACCACGTTGATAACAATCCCATCTGCAGATAGAGCGCGTAAGCGTGGCGTTAGAAAAAAGACCTTCATGTAATGTTGAAAAGCTGCCGCAACATCCCAAAGAAAACAAACCTGCAGCTAGACATGTGCTCACTCGTCTCATGTACATTTCCTGCATGTAAGTAGAAACCATGATAAGAAATCTGATGAAGATCATTTGGTTTTTTATGCTAACAGATACGAGCAAATATAACATTGTTCTACCGGCAACCAAAGTAAGCAGAAGTTGCATAACGGCTGCCACATGTACAGGAAACAAGGTTGATCATTTGCTCGGATAACAATTGCTTCAAGAACTAGCGATCCACTATTATTCTCACACAATGACAAAAGAGAAAGGGAAAAGGCAGAAATCAAGCTAGAAGAGGCTTAATTGCGTTTCATTCGCTTTGTCTGATTCTAGAAAAACAGTCATGCAAATCAAATGGATATGCCAACTGGAGGCAAAAAGAAAACCCATCGCTAATAGATGATGCAATGCACATGATCTTCAGTCGACACAGATAGGCTTTACACCGTTTACACGAACAGCAACGATTGGTAGCTCATCAGGAGAAAAATACCTTCTTCGTTGGTAGCTCGTAGTTGATCAGGATACGAGCAGCGATAGATGATTCGCCACTGAGAACTCCCGGAAGGCAAGCATCCGTTACAACTATCATCTGGGACTTGTTCTCATTGTTCTGATTCTCACCATCGTCCCCGAACTGAACACTAGTCATAGCACTCTCAGCCCATTTGATGGTCGCTTGCCTAAATGTCTCCAAGACTAGGGTTCTTTCTGACTCAGCTAGGTCGCTGTACTGGCCATGGTTTACAACAGATGTTTTTAAACCATTGTAACTCAAATTCAAGCTAAATCGACATTCTCAAAGCCAGTGGTAGCACTTGCACGGGGAATTAAGGAAATGAGCATTGCGTACCAGAGACGCAAGAGAGATGTCAGGGAGGTTGGAGACTGCAGAGCATACAGCATCGAGTTCGTCCCGCGAGCTGCAGCAAACCGCCATTGGAATTCCAGAACGGCGGCCGGCTACACCTAGCAAATCTACCAGCATCTCCTGCTCGGACAATTCAAAGGGTTTCCATTTAAGGCGAGTGAAATTTTAGAATTATTCAGGCAATTGAGACGAGCTGCGGGAAAACTAGGCGTACCATCTTGAACTGAAGTCGGTCGACGGCAAGATAGAAGTGACGCTGTTGTTGGCCGCCACTGCCGAAAGGGTTAGGGACTTCATTGAAGTGAAATTTGAAACAGGAACGAGGGATGAGAATCGGAGAAGGAATTGGAAGAAAACCTGAAATTGGAGGCGGTCGGAGAAGGGGAAGACGGAGAATCCATTGATTCGGTTATTGCCATGGCATACGGAAGTCGAGTAAATAAAATGAAACAGAATTCAACTCCACTCTCAGCGATGCGTAAAAACCCGTATCAAACCGGTCCAGTTAAACCGGACCGTTTCCAAGTCGTACGTCTCAGAGCCCCACCAGCTAGGGGTGAACAAACACACCCGCAAATCGACCCATCCGTCCAAACCGATCCAACCCACCCATATTTATCACTAAATCGAAGGTTTTGGGTTGGGTGAGGGTTTTCTTTTGTACAACCCCCTCTTTTGGGTTGGGTTTGGATTTTGGATTACACAACCGGTAGAACCCGACCCAACCCGTGTTCCAATTATTGGTATGAGTTCGTATCCAAAAAAATATTTATGTCGTATATAGTCATACTTATGAGAAAATTAAGATATTTCGCCATGTTTTTCTCTTAAAGTCTCACTAATCTAATGCATTCTTCGACTTAAAGTTTAGACATATATTTAATATAACTATGATTCACGTAATTTATTTTTCTTGTGTACAATTTTAAAAGAATATCATATTATGGATGCGTTCATTTGTAACCTTATTAGCCTATTTCAACAAATGTCGTGAAAAAAACTAGACATAAGTTGAAGTAAATCAAGTTTTATTAAAATTCAAACAATATTTTTGAATTTTGATACCTTTCACCTCGGTTTATTCGTTTGAATTTTTAATTTGTTATAAAATATTTTTATGACGTAGAATAATTACATATTTTGTGTTGGGTTGGGTTTTTACTTAAAAATATCGCCAACCCGACCCAACCCAATTAGAAACAAACCGTAGGGTTTAGATTTTTTGGTTGGGTTTGGGTTTAATATTTCTCAAACCGTAATGCATGAATCGGATGATTAAAATACCTAAACCCGGACCACCCGACCCATGTACACCCCTACCACCAGCTACCACTTTGTTTCCTTCCTCTGCAACTTTTCAGACTTCTCTTCCGTTTCTTCTCCGCCGACCACCGTCATGATTTCTCATCTGAATTTCACCTGAACCTCTTCTTTCACTCCGCAATCCATGGAAGCCTCCACCGCCGTCCGCCACGATTTTGGCGTGATCGACTCCCCCCCACTCCGTTCCTCCTCCAGGCTACGCCGGCTCCGCTCGCTGCCTTCTCTTCCTCTTCGTAACCTTCTCGTTCCCCCCAATTTCCACCGCCATTTCGTCGCCCGTTGCATTGTCGAGGCAGCGAATCACCACCACTATCACCCCCATAGCCACAACCACCACGAAGATACCCACCGTAATCACCACGAGGACCATCGACACCACCATAATCACGGCCGCGACCACCATCATCACCATCACGGAGACGAGTTAGAAGAGCTAACCGGCGCGCAGAAAGCTGTGATTAGGTTTTCGGATGCGGTGAGATGGACGAATCTCGCCAGTCTGCCGAGGGAGGATCACTTGCAGCTCTGTTGCTGCTCAGCGGCTATGTTTCTCGCCGCTGCTATTTGTCCCTACCTTGCGCCAAAATCCGTGGGTAAGACACTATAAAATGCCTTGACGATCGTCGGTTTCCCTCTGGTTGGGGTACGGTTCATCACTCTTGCAGTTACTGCATCTATATTTTTTTCTTATTTTGCGTGCTTTTCAATTCTCCATTGCAGATTGATCTTATTTTTTCGCTAGAAACGGAAGTTTAGCAAGAATTAGAACTGAGGATGAGATTGTGTGCGTCAAGTCTCGGCATCCCTAGATGCTCTCATTAACATTGCTGGCGAGAAGGTGAACATTCATGTGCTGATGGCTCTTGGAGCCTTTGCCTCTGTTTTTATGGGCAATGCCTTGTAAGGAGGCTTACTTCTTGCAATGTTCAATCTGGCTCATATTGCTAAAGGCATTGAAGTGTATTGCCGGTTGCAGCTTCACAAACATATGTGGAATGCTGTTAAATGCTTACGCCTTACAGGCTTTTCTGTCTTGCAGCCGAAAAGTTCTCCACAGGTCGATCAATGGTAGATGTTAAAGAGTTGAAAGAGAACCAACCAGATTCCCGCCCTCGCGCTAGTTGTTAAAGAGGGAAATCTACCTGAACTCACGCATTTGGCCTACTCAAGTGTGCCAGTGCATGATATAGATAGAAGTGGGCTCGTTATGTTCTAGTTGGAGATGGGGAGGTCTGTAACATGGGACTGGTAATCATGGAAGTCGGCAGTAATCATGGTGAAAGAGAAACTAAACATACATTCCAGGAACAAACCTGTTCGGTCGTGAAATTTTTAGGCCTGTCATTTAAACTCTTGCACTGTGCTTGCTATAGAAGTGGCCAAATTTAGGTTATTTATGGGAGACATACGTTTTAGATGCCATAACTTGATTGTTTCATGATCAGATTAGACCTAGTTTATAGATTTGATTTTTGTGAGATGATTTCGCCTTAGGTATCTCTTGATCAGGCATTTTTCTTGTTTATTAGTATGTTTCTTCCGGAGTAATATAGCTTGGCAATAACATTGCCAAGTATGGCACTCTATTTGTTCTTCTCTGGATAACTACTTCAGGGGTGATTGATCAAGCTGAACCGTGGGAAATATATATTTGATATTCTTTGCTGCACATTTCAACCATGCCAATAGATTGTTGCCCAGCACCCCTTAGAACATTCATAGCAGTTATTCTATTTTTGTAGGCTGTGCCTGTGGATTGTCAGATTTTCAAAGGTAGTGCAACAATTACTATTGAGCATTTGACTGGGGAAGCAAAAACGATCGAAGCAAAGGTGGGAGATCGGATTCCGGCCAGTTGGTGCAAGGAACTTGGATGGTTGAATGATTGTCAAGGTATTGTCATTAAAAGTTAAATATAAGATACTTCGAGACGTTACTCATTGGATATCAACATGCTTGTCATGGTCTTTTATGATCATGGTCACCTGAAATTACTGGCTGTAGTTGACTTATTTTTTTATTTTTCATTTCTTGTGCTTGACGTTGTTAGAAACCTATTTCTAGGGTTCTAACGATCGAGTGATAAGATTGGGAATTGATAGATATTTAGGGATTGAGATAGACTTGGGGAAGAACAGAATTGGGGATTAGGGATTTAGAAGAGGAAATTGGGGATCGAGGAGAAGAATGGCCGACGGCCTAGGGATAAGTGACGAATTTGAGAGAGATTAGGGTTTGAGATACTTTTCTGAATAATTGTTCTTGCTTGCTTCTGAATAAAACGCAAAGTACATATTTATAACGAAAGATAAGAAAACCTAATACTAAACCTAATTCTACTAAAAGACTACTAACCATATTTAATAAAACCTAATAATAATGATAATATAGAAACTCGTTTTCCTTAGAAAACGTGTTTCTAACATCCCATCCCCCTTGAGACCAACCTTGCCCTCAAAGTTAATCAGTTTGACCCATTTCTTCAAGCCTACCGTGCAATCCACGCCTTGCCTCCTCCATTCTTGCGCTTTCTTTTCTTCCAATCGTGCTCCACTACTCGAATGAAGCCCACTCCATATAAAAGTGATCTAACCAAAGGGCCCATTTGAAGCCCAACTCTTTCTTGAAGACTTGACTCATCTGTTCCTTGAACCCAGTTGTTCATTTTATTATTGAGCCCGGACCGAATTACTTGTTCGGCCCATCTTTGTTGGTCTCCTTTTAGCACACACTCATGCCCTTTCTTAGGGAAATTATTTTGTAGCTGTGGCCCAATCTGCAAATTCCTTTGGCCTAAAACAAGCCCATCCACTCGGCCCAACTGAAAGGGCTGCTCCTGTTCTGCTCCTTGGCCCAAAGAAGGCAAACTAGGGTTTGCAAGAAGAGAGGTGGCTCCCTCCTCTGCGTCACCCGCCGCCAGCCGCGTCCTCCCTGTCTCCGCCCCCTGCACTCCCTCTCCCGGCGGTGCCGCCATCTGTTTGGCCTGCTCGTCGGTCAGGAAAAGGGGACCACCGCCCTCTTCCTCCGTCTCTCTCTTTTCTTCCGCCGGACAAAACTCCCTCTCCAGCGGTGCGTGGGAAAGCTCCCCGCCGTCTTGTATTTGCGCGGTCCGCGACCCTTCGGACAGCCCACGACATCCGATTGCGGCGGGCACCACGGGGCGCCGCTCGGCCCTCTCCTCTCCCGTGCGCGGCGCGGCCTCGACTACCACAAGGCGCTGCTGCTCGGCCCGACCTCCTCCAGCGCGCGGCGCGGTCTCGGCCGATGAAGGGAGACGCGCGATTCGGGCGGCGCCAGACAGCTCGACCGTCGGCTCTTCGGGCAGCCAACGGCGGCAGATGCGACGGGCTCTGTCCCGCAATTCTGCCCACGACAGGTTCGAGAGCTTTGAAGAGCTCATCGTCGAACCAGTTGTAGAAATCGTCCCCGGTTGAGAGTTGTGGTGAACTCAATTCTCGAAACCGGGCTCTGATACCAAATGTTAGAAACCTATTTCTAGGGTTCTAACGATCGAGTGATAAGATTGGGAATTGATAGATATTTAGGGATTGAGATAGACTTGGGGAAGAACAGAATTGGGGATTAGGGATTTAGAAGAGGAAATTGGGGATCGAGGAGAAGAATGGCCGACGGCCTAGGGATAAGTGACGAATTTGAGAGAGATTAGGGTTTGAGATACTTTTCTGAATAATTGTTCTTGCTTGCTTCTGAATAAAACGCAAAGTACATATTTATAACGAAAGATAAGAAAACCTAATACTAAACCTAATTCTACTAAAAGACTACTAACCATATTTAATAAAACCTAATAATAATGATAATATAGAAACTCGTTTTCCTTAGAAAACGTGTTTCTAACAGACGTGCTCAACAAAACTGTGTTGAATCATCTCTGGGTGCCATTATCGAACCTAAGTCAAGCAACAAAGATATGGAAAGATTCAACACTAAATAGAATTTTGCAATTGACTGAAGAGGCCCAGTAAAACAAACCAAAACTTCAAAGATGGCTCGATGAGTTTGGTGAGCAATACAGCAAGGTTGTAGTAGGGTTGTCGTTTGCTGTTGCTTTCCTTGGACCATTGTTTTTCAAATGGCCATTCATGAGTACTTCAGGTAACAAGAACAATCATCCTCTTATCCTGTTTGCTAACAAGGATAATAGACTAGATAATCATCCTGAACTCCAAGTTTTTCTAATCTATAGTAGAACCCTGGTTATCTGGCCAAGGATTTGTTTCTATTCCTATTCTGGTGTTCTTTTTGGGTAGAAAGTATGAATGTATTCTTCTGGAACTTCTAATTAGTGTTATAACTATCAACTGTTCTTGGTTTACCATGCAGCCTGCAGAGGATCAATCTTTAGAGCAATAGGATCAATGATGGCTGCATCACCACGTGCCTTGGCAGTAGCTCCATTTGCATACTCCACTGCCATTAGTTCCTATGCCAAAAAGGTGCCTTGTGGTTTCGATAAAGATTTGATTCTTTGGTTTCTGTAGAAGAATTTGTATGGCCTTTCTTTTCCTGTAGCATGTTCAGTATTACTCGTTAACTTCCATGTGAATGTGTAAGTTATTAATTACGTCACTGTAGAGGCCTATAGGTACCAGATAGTAATGTTTTTTTTTTAATATTTATGTGGTGATGACGTGATTTATGCATTTGGACTGAAAGGTTCCATATTTTCTAAATGTTGAATTGAGGTATCAAGTTTCAATGTTTAATTGAAACCAATCTAATTGATCATCGAATTTTCTCTGAATGAAATGTCATTAAAAGTTATGTTCTCTTTGGACACAGGGAATAGTACTTAAAGGAGGGCAAGTTCTGGATGCTCTAGCTTCCTGCCACACAAATGCATTTGATAAAAGTGGGAGACTGACTACAGGAGGTTGTATATTCAAAGCAATCGAGCCAATTCTTGGACATCAAGTAGGAAAAAAGTTGACAACTCATGCTACTTCTTGTTGCAAACCCAGTTGTGAAAGAAAGCTCTTGTTGTTGCAACTGCTATGGAGAAGAGCACAACACATCTTATTGGGAGGTAATTTCATTTCCTGAATACGTCACCCCTTTCTACTACGTCCCATAAAGTTTTGGATCATTAGGAAAGCTGAGAGTAGCCTTGCAAGTTAGTGAGCATGTGGCAGCTGGAAACCAGCATCGGTAGGTGGAAAGACTAGAAAGTTATCAGTTTACCTTGTTATGTATGGTGGAAACTAAAACTTAGAGAACAAATTTTAGTGTAACACCTTGTATCTGCTGCCTCGAGTGCAACCTTTTGCTTGCCTTGGCAAATTAGATATTAGAAACTGCCACTTTGAAAATTGAATACCAGATTTGAGTTCATTCTAACGTTCAGGAAACTTTTCCTTTTTAGTAGAGATGTTGTAGATCATAGCACTGACAAAGACCTCCCTTCTGAATATTTTCCTGGCAGAGGACTTGTTCCTACTCGAAATGACACTCAGGTAGCAAACTTCAATTCGCCGTGTCACGGTACTCGTGATTTGCGAAAAATGAGGTGGGATTATCTTAAATTATATATGCCCTTATGCAATGAAGTAGTTTTATTTTTTAGTACTATGGATGGAAAAATGGTTGAGGGAACTGAAGGAGTGTGCACCACCAAGCCCTTACCCTCAGGGGTACTGAAGACGAACTCAACCATACGACGAGCAACTGGGTCGAGCTTTGTCGACACATCCTTCGACAAATAATATACTGATGAAGAAGCATATGTGTTCTTCTTCGACCTCTCGAACTCTGGGGTCTTTAGTGTTGCAAGTCATTCCTCAGGTGTGTAGCCGTACAGACGGTCTCTCTCCTCGTCAATCATATTCCTCTCATGCGTGATAATCACATCTCGACTCCTCTCAGCGCTCTTACAAGCCGCTTCTACCAACTCCTCGTCTGTAGGCAACATTCCCATCTCTGCAAGTTGAGAGAATGACTCCACCACATCTGTAGGTGGGTCTTCTTCCTCGGCATTAGCAGCGCTAGTAGCCTCATGAGCTATCTGCAAAATGTCCTCAAAAGAGGTATCTGGGACTGTATAGTGTATCACCATAGGGACTGTCGGCTCAAACACCTCCTCGTCCGGTGTCTCTACAGTCTTCTCAGCTTCATTCTCCACCACCTCAAATTTATTCTTCTCTTCAGGATCTTCTTCACATTTCTCTCCAGTTGTCTCCACTTGTGGCTCGACCTGGTCCTTCTCTAGAGGCTGCTCATCCATTTCCATTTTAGCTTCAATATTCTCCACTTGGTCTTCCACCACCTCTGTTTTAAGCTGCTCTAGCACCTCCTCAACAGTATTCTCCAAAGGTCTCCTCCTGGAATCCACGACCTTGAACCTGTCATGCCCTTCCCTCTATTCTATCATATGTCCCAGTTTTGTTGCAAAGTCCAGCAATTTTCCCATATGCCGGTCAATCCCAGCACCTAGTACCTTAAGCTGGAAGACAAATGAACATTTTGCGCAAATTAAAAACTATATCCAAACTGCTCGTACAATTATCCCATGTACCCAGACGAGTATCAGAAGAAAGCGTACAAATATTCAAGTTGGCAGAATTGATATCCAAAAATAACAAACATTGATTTCACAGAAATATCCAAATGCATAAAATTAATATCCAAACCTCACAAACTAGTATTCATAACTGAAAAGAAACCACAAGCTGATATCCAAATGAAACCAACAAATATTCCAGAACAACAAACTAAAATCCGACTAATATCCAAAGCCATTCCAACATGGCATCAGATTCACGGAAAATAGTACAACCCCCCACCAAACAACAGATAACAGTAGATCAAATTCACTCTTGCTGTTCCAAATTCCGGACAATCGTTTGGACCTTGTCCCTTCGAGCCACCCACTTTTCAATCATTCTCTCAGTCATTTCCTTCAATCCCTTAAGCTACACATATGTTGTGAAATATTTAGGTTACTATATCGTCCAAGTCTACCAATGCACGATTTTAGTTAGGGAGGAAGAAAACATTTTACCTGCCCTAGCGGAAGGCTAGTCAAATCTTCAATCTCCCACCATTCCGCGGTGGGCAACGGTGCACGATCAGGAGGAGGAGATGAATTGCTCGCAGCTGCTGCACTAGTACCCCCAATAGCCGCCGACTGGAGCTGCCTGCGAGAGGCCATTTCTTCCCTACTCAGCAAAGCAGCAGCTAGGTCATATCTTCCCCTGACTAAGGGGATAGATGTGCTTGCCCTCTCGACACTTTGCTTCCACCAAAACCGGCAGCTAGGTATGGTCTTTGTGTGCAACCCGCCTAGTTTTAGAGAGTCCAGCAGATAGAGCTGTAAAAAAAATTACAATTAATAAATGTTAAGCTCCATTTCTAGCAATTTAATCAACAAATATCCACAGTAGTCACAAACAGTATCTTATGTGACTAAACTGATATCCAGAAATCATTTTAAGCTAATTTCTTACAAAACAAAGAGTATCTGAGTTCAGTTAGATGATACCCAAATACGAAATTCACTAGTTTTCATGCAATTGAACCAACAATTATAGAAAAGGTTAGGACTTACTGTCAAGAAGTAGCAATCTCCGAGAACCCACACACACGGCGAGCCCAACGCCTTTGCACTATGTTCTTTTTTCTTGGCAACAGTCAACTCTACTTTCAGTTCACGGACAATAAATGTACACCAATCGTACACCCTCACGTCCTCAACACTCCCACCTATGTATGGGGCAAAGTCCAGCTTGCACCTCCGAGAAAATGTTGGCACGAGCATCGAACCAGTAGCTAGCAACAAGAATTGCTTGACAGCAATTGCAACAGGTGGCCTAGGACCATTGGCTGGAATGGCTAACTCCCGCAGCTTCTTGATAGGAACCATGCGAGCCCTGTTCGGAATCATGCCAACTTCCTCGCTGAAACTGTCGAGCATCCCCCCCCTAAACATTCTTCAAATCAATCACAGCCCCACCGAGAGGAAGGTCGTACACACGTGCCACATCCTCAGCTGTGAGGTCGAAGACCTTCTTCGAGTCTCCTTCCCCAAAAACAAAAGTACTGGATGAGGAGTCATAAGCAGCCATCAAGTCGTCCATGAAGACATTGGGTATCTTCGGCATGCGAAGCTCCAATAGGCCCCCGAATCCTGCCTTCTCGACTTCTTTCTTGCATGCTGCATAGTATCCAACATCTTGTTTCCAGTAGTTTATAATTTTGAAGAGGGAATAGGTGGAGCCACGAAATCTGAAATATGAGCCGCAGGGACCCTCTCCCTCAACATCTTCTTCCTCAACTTCTGGAATAGCAGGCGGCGGCTGCCTTGATCCTTCTCCTTGACGAGATCTTGATGCAACCATTTTCGTTCTCTTCATCCCGGGTTGTTCCTGAAACACAGTTATATATTTAGCAAAATATCCATAATCCTTGGACAAATAACTAAAATGCACACTTATATACAATTATTATCGTAGTAAAGCAAAATTGTATCCAAACGAAGATAACTTATATCCATGAAAAAAATATCCATAATACTCAGAAAAATAACTAAAACGAACAGTTAAGTATCCACACTAACAGAACTGATATCCACACATCAGACACATTAGATTATTTTTTTAGCCAATACATACAATTATTATCGTAGTAAAGCAAAAGTGTATCCAAACGGAGATAACTGATATCCATGAAAAAAATATCCATAATACCGAGAAAAATAACTAAAACGAACGGTTAAGTATCCACCTTAACAGAACTGATATCCACACATAAGACACATAAGATTATTTTTTTTAGCCAATATAACTAATCGAGAAACGAAGTGAGAAATCAAACCTTTGGTGGTTGTTCATCCGGCGGCTGCTGTGATGATCCAGCTGCTTCACGAGATTTCGCTGCAGATTTTGGTGCAACAGTTTTGGATTTCTTCCTCACGGGTTGTTCCTGAAACATAGTTAGATATTAAGAAAACTATCCAGCCAAGGAAAATATTAAAATGCATCGGACTAGTAATTTTTAGCCAACATAACCAATCGAGAAACGGAGTAAGAATTGAAACCTGTGGTTGTTGTTCATCCGGTGGCTGCTTTGTTGATCCTTCTCCCTCATTGTTGGGCTTTGAGTTCTTTTTCGGTCTCCCCATTCACTGAAACAATATAAAAAATGACCAGAATAAGTATCAGAAGTGACAAAACTGATATCCATATAACCTTTAATCAAGGAATCGACAAATGATACCCAGATTCAACAAAATCGTATCCAACAAACCCCCAAAATGGAATTCGAGAAACCATAATGAAACAATATATAAAATGACCAGAATAAGTATCGGAAGTGACAAAACTAATATCCATGTAACCTTTAATCAAGGAATCAACAAACAATACCTAGATTCCCCAAAATTGTACCCAACAAACCCCCAAAATGGAATTCGAGAAACCATAAATCTGGTAACTAGAAAAAAAAACCCAGAGCCCCAAAATTCGAATCCCACAGACCCAGAATCTGGTAATCTACAAACAAAACCCTAAACACCCATATTCGAATCCATGAAACCCTAAATCTACAAATCGAGAAACGAAACCCTAAACCCCCAAAACGAAACCCTAAACCCCCAAATTCGAATCCCACGATCACAAAATCTGGTAATCTAGAATCAAAACCTAAACACCCTAAATCGAATCGCATGAACCATAAATTTTCAAATCCATAAACAAAACCCAGATTTCTACAAAAAAAAAATTCATGAAACCGAAACCTTAACATAAATTTTCAAATCCACAAACAAAATGAACAATAAAGAGAGGAGAAGTCTTCTACCTCAACGTCTTCTTCTACCTCCCACTATCGGCGGCGGCCTTCTTCGTCGGCGAAGTTGGCGGCGTCTTCTTCTTTCTTCTTCGTCGGCGGCGTCTTCTTCCTCGTCGGTCGGGATAGCTTCAACGTCGTCGGCGGCGGGAGATCCAACAAGCCGTCGCCGACCTCGCAGCCCTCGTCGCCGTCGCAGCCCTCGTCGCTGTTGGTGGTGGTTTTCGGGAGAAGAAGAAAAAGAGAGGGAGAGGGTTCGAAAGTTGGAGAGAGAGGGGAAAATGGCGGACGTTTAGTTGAACTTGGGTTTTGGGTTTGAAATTTTGGGTTTTTGTTTTTGTTTTTTTTTTTAATTTCTGGCCCCACTTTTTCCAAAAGTGGCTCGGCTTGCCCAAAAAAAATCTCCATCCTCACAGAACAGTGCCGGTGATCCCTCATCCTCCGATGGTGGCTCGGCAAAGTGGCCCATCATCCCACCCTGTTAGTATCTGCTAACCACTTAAAGGTTAGCAGAATAACGCTATTGGCGAATCACCACCACTATCACCCCCATAGCCACAATCACCACGAAGATACCCACCTTAATCACCACGAGGTCCATCGACACCACCATAATCACGGCCGCGGCCACCATCATCACCATCACGGAGACGAGTTTAAAGAGCTAACCGGCGCGCAGAAAGCTGTGATTAGGTTTTCGGATGCGGTGAGATGGACGAATCTCGCCAGTCTGCCGAGGGAGGAGCACTTGCAGCTCTGTTGCTACTCAGCGGCTATGTTTCTCGCCGCTGCTATTTGTCCGTACCTTGCGCCAAAATCCGTGGGTAAGACACTATAAAATGGCTTGATGATCGTCGGTTTCCCTCTGGTTGGGGTACGGTTCATCACTCTTGCAGTTACTGCATCTATATTTTTCTTCTTATTTTGCGTGCTTTTCAATTCTCCTTTGCAGATTGATCTTATTTTTCCGCTAGAAACGGAACTTTAGCAATAATTAGAACTGAGGATGAGATTGTGTGCGTGAAGTCTCGACATCCCTAGATGCTCTCATTAACATTGCTGGCGAGAAGGTGAACATTCATGTGCTGATGGCTCTTGCAGCCTTTGCCTCTGTTTTTATGGGCAATGCCTTGGAAGGAGGCTTACTTCTTGCAATGTTCAATCTGGCTCATATTGGTAAAGGCATTGAAGTGTATTGCCGGTTGCAGCTTCACAAACATATGTGGAATGCTGTTAAATGCTTACGCCTTACAGGCTTTTCTGTCTTGCAGCCGAAGTGTTCTCCACAGGTTGATCAATGGTAGATGTTAAAGAGTTGAAAGAGAACTAACCAGATTCCGCCCTCGCGCTAGTTGTTAAAGAGTGAAATCTACCTGAACTCACGCATTTGGCCTACTAAAGTGTGCCAGTGCATGATATAGATAGAAGTGGGCTCGTTATGTTCTAGTTGGAGATGGGGAGGTCTGTAACATGGGACTGGTAATCATGGAAGTCGGCAGTAATCATGGCGAAAGAGAAACTAAACATACATTCCAGGAACAAACCTGTTCGGTCGTGAAATTTTTAGGCCTGTCATTTAAACTCTTGCACTGTGCTTGCTATAGAAGTGGCCAAATTTAGGTTATTTATGGGAGACATACGTTTTAGATGCCTTTAACTTGATTGTTTCATGATCAGATTAGACCTAGTTTATAGATTTGATTTTTGTGAGATGATTTCGCCTTAGGTATCTCTTGATCAGGCATTTTTCTTGTTTATTAGTATGTTTCTTCCGGAGTAATATAGCTTGGCAATAACATTGCCAAGTATGGCACTCTATTTGTTCTTCTCTGGATGACTACTTCAGGGGTGATTGATCAAGCTGAACCGGGGAAATATATATTTGATATTCTTTGCTGCACATTTCAACCATGCCAATAATTTGTTGCCCAGCACCCCTTAGAACATTCATAGCAGTTATTCTATTTTTGTAGGTTGTGCCTGTGGATTGTCAGATTTTCAAAGGTAGTGCAACAATTACTATTGAGCATTTGACTGGGGAAGCAAAACCGATCGAAGCAAAGGTGGGAGATTGGATTCCGGCCAGTTGGTGCAAGGAACTTGGATGGTTGAATGATTGTCAAGGTATTGTCATTAAAAGTTAAATATAAGATACTTCGAGACGTTACTCATTGGATATCAACATGCTTGTCATGGTCTTTTATGATCATGGTCACCTGAAATTACTGGCTGTAGTTGACTTATTTTTTTATTTTTCATTTCTCGTGCTTGACGTGCTCAACAAAACTGTGTTGAATCATATCTGGGTGCCATTATCGAACCTAAGTCAAGCAACAAAGATATGGAAAGATTCAACACTAAATAGAATTTTGCAATTGACTGAAGAGGCCCAGTAAAACAAACCAAAACTTCAAAGATGGCTCGATGAGTTTGGTGAGCAATACAGCAAGGTTGTAGTAGGGTTGTCGTTTGCTGTTGCTTTCCTTGGACCATTGTTTTTCAAATGGCCATTCATGAGTACTTCAGGTAACAAGAACAATCATCCTCTTATCCTGTTTGCTAACAAGGATAATAGACTAGATAATCATCCTGAACTCCAAGTTTTTCTAATCTATAGTAGAACCCTGGTTATCTGGCCAAGGATTTGTTTCTATTCCTATTCTGGTGTTCTTTTTGGGTAGAAAGTATGAATGTATTCTTCTGGAACTTCTAATTAGTGTTATAACTATCAACTGTTCTTGGTTTACCATGCAGCCTGCAGAGGATCAATCTTTAGAGCAATAGGATCAATGATGGCTGCATCACCACGTGCCTTGGCAGTAGCTCCATTTGCATACTCCACTGCCATTAGTTCCTATGCCAAAAAGGTGCCTTGTGGTTTCGATAAAGATTTGATTCTTTGGTTTCTGTAGAAGAATTTGTATGGCCTTTCTTTTCCTGTAGCATGTTCAGTATTACTCGTTAACTTCCATGTGAATGTGTAAGTTATTAATTACGTCACTGTAGAGGCCTATAGGTACCAGATAGTAATGTTTTTTTTTAATATTTATGTGGTGATGACGTGATTTATGCATTTGGACTGAAAGGTTCCATATTTTCTAAATGTTGAATTGAGGTATCAAGTTTCAATGTTTAATTGAAACCAATCTAATTGATCATCGAATTTTCTCTGAATGAAATGTCATTAATAGTTATGTTCTCTTTGGACACAGGGAATAGTACTTAAAGGAGGGCAGGTTCTTGATGCTCTAGCTTCCTGCCACACAAATGCATTTGATAAAAGTGGGAGACTGACTACAGGAGGTTGTATATTCAAAGCAATCGAGCCAATTCTTGGACATCAAGTAGGAAAAAAGTTGACAACTCATGCTACTTCTTGTTGCAAACCCAGTTGTGAAAGAAAGCGCTTGCTGTTGCAACTGCTATGGAGAAGAGCACAACACATCTTATTGGGAGGTAATTTCATTTCTTGAATACGTCACCCCTTTCTACTACGTCCCATAAAGTTTTGGATCATTAGGAAAGCTGAGAGTAGCCTTGCAAGTTAGTGAGCATGTGGCAGCTGGAAACCAGCATCGGTAGGTGGAAAGACTAGAAAGTTATCAGTTTACCTTGTTATGTATGGTGGAAACTAAAACTTAGAGAACATATTTTAGTGTAACACCTTGTATCTGCTGGCTCGAGTGCAACCTTTTGCTTGCCTTGGCAAATTAGATATTAGAAACTGCCACTTTGAAAATTGAATACCAGATTTGAGTTCATTCTAACGTTCAGGAAACTTTTCCTTTTTAGTAGAGATGTTGTAGATCATAGCACTGACAAAGACCTCCCTTCTGAATATTTTCCTGGCAGAGGACTTGTTGCTACTCGAAATGACACTCAGGTAGCAAACTTCAATTCGCCGTGTCACGGTACTCGTGATTTGCGAAAAATGAGGTGGGATTATCTTAAATTATATATGCCCTTATGCAATGAAGTAGTTTTATTTTTTAGTACTATGGATGGAAAAATGGCTGAGGGAACTGATAGCTGTTATTTATGTACAGTCAGTAAGTGGAAGAGCTAGATCATTGAAAGCTTTCCTTGGCTCTGTTGAGTTCATTACTTCCTCTTTGTAAATCAGAAGACAAGTCGAGAGAAATTAAGGAAGCTGTCAGTGCATCTTCTCAAGGGAACGACAGTGTTATTTATTATCAGAGCACAAAGTGGAAAGAAGCGGACACTAAAACTCCAACTTGGTTGAATTTAAACTTGTGCAGGTAATATTGATTCATCTCGAGGATATACCTCGAGAAGGGGTTTCAGATGTGATTTCAGAAGTCAGAACTACAGGATAAAGCGAGTCTCCGTGTAATGATGTTAACAGGTGACCATGGATCAAGTGCAAGGAGAGTTGCACAAGCTGTGGGCATTTGTCAATTTCACTATAGCTTGAAACCAGAGGACAAGCTGAATCACGTAAAGACAAGGGACATAGGTAGTCATTGAAAGAACTGCTTAACATTCCAGTCTTGGCTGATCAGCTGTCTTCAGCATCTGAAACCAACATCGGTTGGCGGTTTCGTGGCAGGTGGTGGCCTAATCATGGTGGGTGAAGCCATCAATGATGCCGCAGCACTTGCCGCAGCAACTGTAGGAATTGTGCTAGCCCAGTGCGCTAGTGCAAACTGCCATAGCTGTGGCAGATGTTCTGTATTGCCAAGTCTCGCCAAACAAGTTCCCTGGTATCATATCAATATCATTGAACAACTTTGTGCATCGTGCCCAATTATTGAATCATTTATCCCTATCTAGGTTCTTCATTGTCTTTTTTTCCCAACATTTGCACGTACACAGGTCAAACAGAATGTGGCGCTGGCTTTGACTTCCATAATTCTTGTTTCGATTCCATCTTTATTTAATCGGTCCGGTAACCAGCATATTCGGTGTCGGTGGCTTCCCATTCTCACAGAATTGAGTGGGGTTTGAGATGGTACATTGTCCAACAATGTCCAATATCTCCTGCTGCAGAGGAGTAACCGTTAGGTGGATGTAATGTACTGGGTGGTTGGTTTGTTGAATGAAATGCAGGTTCTTTAACACGGAAGTTGGTGCTCTCCTGAAATGCCTGAACTTGGTACGTGCTCTAAACGACCCGAAATGGTCGTGGAAGGAAGATATGCAGCACAGCAGCTTAGCTCCCGTCGGACGAGTGTTGCCAGGTTAGACGACACCGCCAATAACAATAATATGATAACCAACTTAGTACTTACCAAGGCGCTGAAGCTATGTTTTAGTTGAAGGCTCACTCTCTTTCAGTCTTTACTCTTCAATCAATTCATATTTTCTTACGTTTTCAATCTAATGATAGATGCGCATATGAAATGTGTGGCTTTCTTGCCAGAGTTTGTTGTTAAGATCACAAAGTCTTCCTCCCAAATGTGCCACGTTTGCATGTTCAGTTTTAGTTGTAGACTTGTAGTAGCCTGTCGTGGTCCCTGAAAATCAAAGTGGTGTGGAGATTCTACTTTTACGTGCACAAACATTTTAGTTTTGTTGGATAGGTTTATATTATTATTATTATTATAGATATTAAAAAAGATTTGTAAATGAAAGAGTCGTCTCGTCTTGCTTTCCCGGGTGCCACTTGGTGTGATTATCTTTGACTTTTTTCTGGACGTTGTACGCAGAAGAAAGAAAGAAGATGTATAGTTGGCAGATCAATTTCAGTTTTGCTTCGTTACAAATTGATGGCGTAACAGAAATCGAACGAGAAGGAGAAGAGAGAAAGAAGCGTGTGTTTTGTGTAACTGCCAATTTGCCTACTCCTTCCTTTGGCGCTGTGGGGCCCGTCGACCGCCACCACGGGAAGAAACCGTGTTCCTCTTCCAAACTTCCTTCGTTTCCGTTTTCCATCTCTCATTAATAATACTAAAGTTTCCAGATCTTTCTCGCAACTAAAACTGCCAAACCACCTCCCCAACCAACCTTAGTTAACGTTCGTTCCCCTTCGCATTTGACCTTTGACGGGTAATAATAGAGAAGCATATTTTGGACATGGGAGTGATTGAATTTGTTCTGCAGTTTGCAATTTCTGATGAAGAGCAATAATGGATGAACAAATCTAGAAATTGCCTAATAGTCTCCGAGTTTTCAATTTGAAAATTGCTTTCATTTCATGAGGTGGTAGGCTTTCTCTTCCTTACCACTTTCGCCCCCAAATCTCACAAGACATGTTTTTTTTTTTCTTCATCATTGAATTGGGTGAGAAATCCTTTGGCTCCCCATCGTCGCATCTCTGCTGCAATGCCATTCATATGCCAACTTTTAACCTAACATACATATTATATTTATATATATATATATATCTGGATTTTTAACTTTCTTCTGCAACTATTACCCAGCTTCCTTGTTTTACCTCATCCATCTCTTCCATTTTCCTCTGTACAATGGCCTTCAAAAATTATTCCCCTACTCCCCAAACAACAACAAGAAACAACCCTTTCCCATCTTCTTTCCCACCAACTACGTCCAGTTCTTGGATCCTTTCTGCCTAATCACTCTACTCAATTTTACCCACCCCAACCCTATTCACCGCCGCTGTAACACTCCTGAACCCACTGCCTGCCGCCGCCTGGAAACACATTCCAACACCCCCACCACCACCGCTGCCGACGCCGCCACCACCACCACCAATCTGCCTCTGCTCCATCATATATGTCCTGACCTCCCTCTTTATCATCTCCTGCATCACCGCCATGAACTCCGAGCCGAAACCCACAATCCCTGACCCGGACGGCTCCACTAGATTATTCGCCGATGCCGGAACGGTGATCGGCGCCGGAGGTATCATCGGCGGCAACAGTGCCATGGCAGTAGTAGCGGCCTGATGGTGATTGTGAGTTGGCTCCGGAACTCGAGGGGTCGAGGCGGCGTCGGAGGAAGAATCCGTCCCCGGGAGGGACAGACACAAGGAAGTGGGCGGGTCTTCGTTTCTGCTGCTACACGACGCCGTCGCAGCGGTGGCCGTAGCTTCGGCCGGTGGGACCACCCCGCCGGTTCTCGGCACGGGCCTGAACACGTGCGGGGCAGGAGCGGCGGATAAAACAGGAGGCGCAGTTGGCACGCTGGAATAGTCGCTGACGTCAGATCCAGATGGACTCCCGGGGTTCATGCTAACTCCCGTGAAGACGGGCGCACCGGATCCCGCACTCATCGACCTCTTCAACGGCTGGCAGCAATCCCCCAAATTACCATCGTACCCTCCCTCCCCGCCGTCCGACGCGGAGGAAGAGGAGGAGCACTTCCTCTTGAGCGTGGAGTTCCAGTGGTTCTTGATGGCGTTGTCGGTGCGGCCCTGGAGGAGGCGGGCGATCGTCGCCCACTTGTTCCCGAACCGAGCGTGGGCGCGGACGATCGTCTCGTCCTCCTCCGCCGTGAAGGCGCGGTGCTCGACCTGCGGCGAGAGCTGATTGCACCACCGGAGTCGGCAGGATTTCCCCGATCGGCCGGGGATCGACTTGCTGATCAGCGACCAGTTCCGCGGGCCGTGCTTCTCGACGAGGCGCTGGAGCTTGTCGTCTTCCTCGGGGCTCCATGGACCTTTGATTCGATCTATATCTCTTCCTGTAATAGCCATTTCGGTTGATCTTATCACAAAAGCGAAGGAGTAGAATGGAGGTTTTGGCCGGCGGTTGAGATTTCCCGATGGCCGGTAGAGAGAGAGAGAGAGTTGGTTGTTTGGAGAGGGGATAGAGGAGGGGAGAATATATATCTCTCTCTTATATGTGTGCGGGGGAGAGAGAGAGGAGCGATGTATATAAAGGGGCGACCGGGCGAGCCGGTGAAAGGAGGGGAGTTAAGGGAACTGGGAGAGGAAGCGGTTGAGGTTGGGATACAGCTGGCAAACGGACACGCGTCACATCTCACTAGCACTGATTTACATACATTAATCTAACTCTCTCTTTCTCTCTCTTATTCAAAATAAAAAATATCTCTTGCTTGCTTCTTCTGGCTCTGCTCTCTCAGGCCTACAAATATTTTCGAATTAATACAAGATTATTTATTATTTTTCATGGTTTGGTTTGTTTTGGCGGATTGGGGGACGAGGTCGACTCGACCGGTAAAGGAGCGTAAGCTTCACTCTCTCTCCCTCTCTGGGGATGAGAGAAACATCATCAGGCCTACTACTGTTTTAAACTGCTTATTAGGTCAGGATTAAGAGGTAATTATTTTGAACACATTGGATGGATTTGAAATTGTACAAGTAAATTTCATGGGATTAGGAGAGTGAGAGAAGGTGAGTATTGACGAAATTATGAAACGGAAATCCCTCTACGTGCTTTTGGATTCGTAATTGGTAAAATGACAGAATCGTCCTTGGGAAGTAATAAGGATCGTGGGGAGTGTGGAGCGGACAAATATAGGGGTAAAAATGGAAAAAGAGCGGAGGTGGGAAGCGTAGGTTAGGATAAGGATGGGAAACGGTTGGGGTTTCAAAATTTTATTTTTTGGTGGAGTTCTGACTTTGACTGGAGGGCGCCAGCCTGTATGCCATTTTCTCCTTTCTCTCTCTCCCACCTTTTTTTTTCTTTAATTGTTTTTCTTTTTTCCAAACTAAAAAACAAAAGGAGGGGAGGGGAGGGGCGAACGGCCGCACGGAAAGTGGTGAGGTGGCGCAAGACGACAAGAGCGGTCGCCAAATCGGAGGGCGAATCATTACCGGAAAAACTTGCGTCGTTTGCTTGCTTTGTGTTTTTTTTTTAGTTTGGGTGGAGGGAGGGGTCCTTTCCTTCCTTCCTTCCGATCCAGGCTGTAAAACTAGAACCTGCCCACTTCTCCTTCAACGGCCTCTTTTGCATGCACGCTACCCACAACTGTCGGTCGTCTCTGTAACCTGGGCAACGGGGACACCTGCCTTTGCTTCCGGTCTCCAGGTTGCCTTCCTGCCCACCTTCCTCTGCTTTCCTTCTTCTTCCTAATCCACACCCACAGTGTTCCCCTCTTCTTCTTTTTTTTCTTCTTTAAAAAAAGAGGGGTGAAAAATGATTTCCTCCATCTGGCTGTCAGGTTTTTATTAAAAAGCGCGTTCACTTAGGGGGATATTGCTTAATCCCAACGGAGCCTGATATAATTAATTAATTCATTATAATAACTGAAACAAACTATGATTATGCTCGTAAGGTTTGGATTCAATCCATCTTATCAAGAATAGGAAAAATAAATAAATAGTGGATGCTTCATTAGTTAACCGTTATACTAATTTTATATATAAAAGTATTCATAATAATGATTTAGTAATTTCGATGTATTTCTAAAAATATAATTATATATGATAAGAAGAAATATATTATTTTACTATAACAAAAATTTTCCTAGTGGCCAATACATGTGTTTTTTAGCATTATTTAATGATAAATCAAAGCTAAACTCTGTGTAACGTATTCATAATAAGATAAGTTGCATTTTTCAATACCGGTGAAAAATTACTAATAAGTTGTTCACTTATCAAAATCCCGGTCAGCAATGGCCAATGGGAAGGGAGTCTGGCCAGCAAAACAATTCGGGCAATTTAAACAGCTTGTCCACTTAATCGATCGGATCATTTACAAATTGTCCGATTAATTCTCGTCTTTTGCATGAGTTTATTGAACCGAATTGGAGATCGGTTATCAATTTTTTTCATCGGTCAAGATCTATCTCAATGAAATTAAAATGTGTGCTTACCACCAGATCATAAATGTAAATAATAGAATTCTATTGTGATCTACCATCAATCGTCGCTTCACTATATTTGCTGATAAGTTCCATTAAATTATCTCCAAATAATTTCCTCACCATGAGCCGTGAACATGAAAAATTAAATAAATAAAGGAAAGAGTAAAGTTAAACTAAAAAATGATTGCTTTCCGCCACTACTAGAAGAGTGCAAAAGCAAATGGTGCGGGGGGAGAGATTCGTATCAGGGGACTGGGCGGAGGGCTGTCTGGAACGGGTACATAGTATTCGTACCTACTACCTTCCCTTCCTAATAAAAATATGGTCTTGTTTGTTTCTCTTTTATTATTGGATTTTCTTTTGCCTTTCTTTTGGTGGTGGGAAATAATATGGAGGTTGTTTTTTTTTTTTTTTTACGATAGCAAGTCCAGCAATAATGATGTAGGGCGACTCTGTAGAGAACTGGATCGAATTTGATGATATTGAGGTTGTGAATCCAATTTAGTGGTG